CAGGCCCAGTACAGGATAACTTAAACTTAAGTATAGGCTAATAAGAACTCTTATCAGCCGAACACTCATACATAAAGAGACTTCAATCCAACACTAGGTATGCCTCTTCCAGGGGGCAGATTCTCTACCAGATCAATTGCTCCTGAAATATTTTTTCTTGCTCTAAAGCCATAGGACATATACATAAGAGAAATATGGCAAGCCGAAACTGTTAGTTGGCTGGTAAAATCTGTTTGCTATTCTGATGAACTTCCATCTCTAGAATATAACTAATTTTTTAACTAAAACAATAAAATCATAAACTGAATATGTTTGGATACAGGATCATAACATTCCACCCCTTGGAACCAGGATCCCATATCTCATTCTCTCTTTCAATGATCAATGGACCAAACAACTTCTTCTTGCGAACTACCATTCTACTGCACATGATCATTGTAAGGCCATAAAGTGCAGTTTTACATATTTCTTTGAGCTCTCTTCTAGCAATCAGATTAAGAAAACCTATCTTCTTAATGTTCTCAGAAAATTTAGACCTATCAAAACATTCATTAGAATTAAAAAGAATGCCATCATTAATTGTTATGACCCTTCCAAAGATGGGTTCTTTTTTTGCCACCAAAATGGAGTTGTGAAGTACATAGATCTTAGAATGTAGTTTCTCTTTGCTCATTTTAACAACCTCAGCAAGGTGTTTTCGTATTTCTTCATAATCCTTCTCAAGAGCTTCCTGGTGTATAGTTAGAGAATTAGACTCTGTTTCCTTCTTGTAAATTTGTACTCATAGGTCTTCATGGTTGTAAACCTGCTCTGGTACCAGTGATTTAAAAGGCGCACAGGCGACACACATTTTAGGGTATGTGCCTCACCTAGGTACTAGGCATAGCCCTTTCGCACGCCTGATGTGCCTAGGCATGTGCCTGATGTGCCTTGCGCCTCAGCCCAGGCGTGCGCCTTTTGAAAACATTTATGAAATTTTGGGGATGTGTTTATGTATTTTAATTTTAGATAATAGGTAAAGAGTATGATGTAAAACATATTTAGCTGCTTGAAGTAATGCAATTGAAGAAAAAAAGAGATTGTATGTTTTTACATGCTTGAAAATGCTTTATATGTTTGATTTTATTTTTAAAATTTCATTTGAATGCTCTTTACATGTTATGTTTATGTATTTTAATTTTAGATAATAGGTTTATAAAAATTTAAGTTTATATTTTTTATTAATATTATGCTTAATATTTTTTTTGCATTCTTTGATTTTTTGGCATTTGTTTGAATTTGACTTTTTTTATTTTGTTAGCACTTTTTTTTTTTTGTATTTTTGCACCTTGCTTCAAAACGGCGCACGCCTCACCTTGCGCTTCAGGTGCAAATTGGCCCTTGCTATTTTTTTTGCGCCTTTTGCTTTTCAAACACTGTCTGATACCAATTTATATGATCCCAATGATTGTAACTGAAAAAAAATGCAACAGTGAAAAAGGTGAGAACATTTTAAGGGGAATAGACTTCCTAGGCATGCCTCTTTTGGGGTGTGATTCCTTCACGCAACAACTGCTTTTAATAACACAATTCTTCTTGTTGAGAAGCTATACAACATCTGGAATAAATAAGAGTAATAGGACAAGCTGATAATCAGATTCCTATTCTAATAAACTTTCTTAAAGGATCATCACCCAATGCTTGTCCCAGCTATGCAGGGTTTTGGGAGGGGAGTACTGGATATCAGCCTGAGATTTTACCATTACACCAAGCAATGGCCCTTAACTAATTCCTAAACTAAAACAATAAAAGGTTAAATCAAATATTTTTAGATGTGGGATCATGAGATTCATGACACTTTCTAACCTAACTGCACAACCCTATATGCCTACTATCCAAAAAAGCTTTGAAGTCTATCCCTAAACCCAACCTACACCCATCAACACGTTTATAGTCCCAATTCTTCCCAAGAAATAGAAATTACAGTCTCTGGGTTGCCTGTCCTACATCAATTGGTATCGTGGTACTTGTGTACTATCTCTCCTGTATCACTAGTTCTGTTTTTGGTGGGTAATGTTAATAGTTTGATTTTCCTGGACTTATAAATTTTTGTGCATTCTGACCATATAAAGGAATCTGGTAAATCTGATGCTCTGGGTCAATGCCTAGGACAAATCTACTAAGAGTGGCCTACTGAATGTGCACCCTTACCTTTCTAAGTGCATCATATGAAAGGGACAAGATGGGTTTAGGTTGGGTATGCCGACATACTAATTGTGCTATGCCTCTTCTATGAACATATGACACAAATTTCCATGAGCAGCATTTGGACGAAGAGAAGATTTTGAATGCCGTGAGCCTAGAAAAAGATGTAGATGGATTCCATCCTATTAATATGGGGAACCTTGCCATGAGAGGAAGGGAGCCACTGTTTGTCCCCTGTACCCCAAGGGGTTGCATTGAGTTATTGCTAAGGTCAGGTGTGCAAATCATGGGGAAAAAAGCAGTAGTTATTGGGAGGAGCAATATTGTTGGATTGCCTACTTCTTTGCTATTGCAGGTAATACGGTTTTCTTGATTTTCAGATCAGTAACACCTTTTATTTTATGTATAAGATTTTTAGCATTATAAACAACACTGCTGGTGTGAGCTTGTTTTACACTGCCAGTCCCAACCCTGGAGAAAAGAGGAGGGTTGCATCAGGTTGGAATCTGACACTAAAGCTTTTGCCAAACCCTCATGAATATGGATAGCCAATCCCATATAATTGGGATGAGGCATGGATGATGATGTTGATGATGTTTTTAGCATTTTATACTGAGTTCTAATGTTTTCTTTTGGACAGAGGCACCATGCTACAGTCACTGTCATACATGCCTTCACAAAAAATGCAGAACAGATCACACAAGAAGCTGATATTGTGGTCTCAGCTGTTGGAGTACCCAACCTTGTCCGTGGCTTTTGGCTAAAGCCGGGTGCAGTTGTGATTGATGTAGGGACAAGTCCAGTTGAGGTAAACACTTGCTTCTTTTGTATCCTGAGCATAGGTGATACATGCTGGATTAAGTGGTGGCATGCATGCAGCCCCGAGTATCTTTTTTATTAGCTGATGATTCAAAATATAAAAATTATGAATTACCACCATGCAAGAGGAAAGACAGGTATCCAATAAATATATCTTTTTTTAATTTTTGGTTATATACATATGGCAACGGGAAATTTCTATTCAGTTTATGAAAAGTATTGTTGACTATCTTATTTTATAAACTCGTTAAAGCAAGAAGGTGGTAAGATGAACAAAATTTATTGTGAAAAATGGACTCATGCAATCAAGAAATAGAAGAAGAATAGTCACAGAGATCTGAATGTTTCCCCAACTCCCTTGCATTTACGTAATGCTAAATGCATGCATTTATTTTCTTATGGTATGTAGGGTAACATCTGTCTGGTTGCAAATGATGCACAGGACCCTGGTAGCGAATATGGTTACCGCCTTACTGGAGATGTTTGCTATGAAGAAGCTGTCAAAGTGGTGTCGGCCATCACCCCTGTGCCTGGAGGAGTGGGACCTATGACAATTGCCATGCTTCTCTGCAATACTGTTGACTCTGCCAAGCGTGCATTTGGATTCAGTTAACCTCTGGCTTTGTTCTTAACAGAATCGCATCTGTGTTGTACACTACCTCTTGTTGAGGTGTTTGATCCCCTTTTTGTCTGTTACTATGCTAATTCATTATTGTAAGCTTCAAAATTTCTTTCTACTGCAGGAAAAGATCTTGATTTAAGGGAGTCATTTTGGATCCCTTCCCTGCTTGACACTCTTAACTTCCCCATTCCACCATCCAAACAAAAAAGTGAAGATGCTAGTCAATGTAGTTGAGAATTTTTTGACTTGCGGAGGGGATGGGGGAAGGTCATCAGAGGGTTATTTTTGGTTCTAATAGACATGAAACTCTTTCAGATAATCATGCATGCTGTTGTGTGTCATACCATAGAAAGTCGTCCATCAAGTTTTTTGACTGCAAACATGAAATATCAGGCCCATTTAATAGGTTCTGTTGATAAGGATCTGGACCATCTGTTTTGGAGATTTTGCTGCTGAGTTGAAGAATACAAGGAATTTATCAGGTAAATAAGTGTATAGTGATCAAATGCATTGGGGGTGTTATCAGTCCGGAAATTTTGGATATTCAACAACTAAGTCATTGTACTAATCCATTTTTTGTTCCAACTTGTTTATTCCAAGATTTAGCTACCATGCAATTTGAGCCCTATCTCTTGTGTATCTGATATTCATCTTGTTACCTCCAACCTTGCTTCTCATTAGGGCTGCAAACAATTGCATTTAATCCTGTTTCTTTGAGTTGGATTTGGACATTCCTTCAACCATAATTGAATTGGATTTGAAAATTTGATCTATTTATCAATTGAAGAGTCTGTGTATTACTTAATTTGATTTGTAAGGTCAGTTGTGTGTTGCTAAATGAAGTTTGGGCAAATGCAGTAGTGCTGTTGACTGCTTTCTGTTTAGCCTCAGTTTGGTAAGAGCGCAAATACAAATATGTAAAGTGCAAATAGAAGGGTTAGAAATACCGCTGAGGTTTTGCATTGTACATATTTGTATTTGAACTCTTTCTTCTTTTTTTTTTGGTAAGAAAACTGACTGAATAAGCAGCAAAAGACAAACTTACAAAAGGGGATGGAAATCCACTAAGTCCGCTAGCCAGAGCGGCATAGCTTCTAAGAAGACCATTGCTTCTGAGAGGCCTCTTTTTGCCAGTTCATGGGCAAGGGAATTGCTTTCCCTACCCGAGAAGGAGAAAGAAAGATCTAAATTTTTACAAGAATCTGAAATGTCTTTACAGAAAAAGAAAGCATCCTGAGATCCTCTTAGGTCTTTAGAGGCTAGTGTTGCATCAACAATTTGTTGTCATTTTCGATCACAAAAGGGCCTCTCTTTAAGCTTTTTGCAAGAAGGATTCCTTTGAGGTAAGTAAAAGCTTCAGCTTGAAGAGGAGACTGAGCTGAAGTAGGGCCAAAACACAGAGCTTTGTAGCAACCCAGGTTGTCTTTGATAACGACTCCAAAACCAGCCTTCCTAGCATTCACAAAAGTGCCATCCACGTTTATTTTTAGAATAGTACCGGATGGAGGCTTCTACAAAAAGAGAGCTATCTTCTTTAGACGTTGGCAAAGTATCTTGCCATTTTTTTAGCAAAGTCATCCTCCTCTCCTTCCAAGCCCTGTTGAAAGAGATAATTGATGAGTGTGGATTTGGATTTTCATTTTCAAAGATATATCTATTTCTACATTTTCAGCTGAGGAGTTCATATTTTTTGTCTTTCAGTTGATTACACTTGTTTATCCAAGAGTTAAACCAAACTCTAAAGTCATTTGGTGCGGTGTCTGAGTTATAACCAAAACAAGAGGCAAACCACATCAATCTAGCATGATCACAATGGAACAATGCATAGATTAAGGTCTCAGGTTCTTTGGAGCATATTGGACATAGACTTGATTGGACCATTTTCCTCCTTTCTAGGTTCTTTTTAACCGCTATCGCATTCCCAAGACATTTCCAGATGAAAATTTTGATTTTGGGATCAATTTTTAACCTCTAGACCTCCTTCCAAGGCAAATTTGACATCTTATCAAGATGTATTCTACCATTCACTGGATTTTTATATTGGGAATCAGATCTTTCCCTATGGGCAAGATAATAAGCTAATTTGACTGAGAAATAGCCATTTTTGCTTCCCTTCCATATCAATCTATCTTCCTAGTTACAAGAGGCTAAGGGAATATTTTTTATCAGATCTTCAATTTCTTTGTGAAGTGTTGTTTGAATTCCAACATCTTCTGTCCTGATCAATGATGTCTTTGACCCAAATAGGGCCATTATTATCAGGGCTCGGGCCTGTCAATATGAAATTTGGGGAATCCTTTAGACAAGGATCTCCCCATATCTTTATGCTTTCCCCTGTATTAACTTCCCAAAGGGCTCCAAGTTTTAGTATTTCCCTACCTACAAGGATGCTCTGCCAATCCCAAGATCCTTTTTTCTGGAAGTTGTTTGTTAGAAAGTTTTTGCTTTTTATGTATTTTGCTCTTATGACCTTACACCAAAGGTTTTCATCTTCTGTACAAAGTCTTCAAGCTTGTTTTGCTAGTAGAGCTTTGTTGAAGCTGAAGGGATCTCTGAAACCTAATCCACCCTCATTTTTGTTTCTACAAATTTTGTCCCAGCTAACCTAGTTCATTTTGTTATGAGTGTCTTGAGATCCCCACCAGAATCTCCTCTGGGATTTTTCCATTTCATGACATATAGCTTTAGGAAGAAAGAAGCAGGAAATGGAATAATTTGGGATTGCCGCTACTACTGCTTTCAGGATAACTTCTTTCCCTCCATTTGATAGGAGAAGTTCATTCCATTTTGAAGTTTTGGTCTGAATTCTCCTAATTAGATGATTGAACAAATCTTTTTTTGATCTTCCAATAGCAGTAGGCGAACCTAAGTAGATTCCATGATGGTTAACCCTTTTGATTTTTAAACTTTTGGCTAGCAGCTTCTGGAACTTTGGATGAAGGTTTCTACTAAAAAAAATTTCAGATTTGGAGAAATTTACTTGTTGCCCAGAAGCCCTTTCATAAAGTTTGACTACATCCACCAGGTTTTGACTGTCAATTGGGTTTACCTTTGTGAAGAGATAACTGTCATTTGCAAAAAATAAGTGGGATATTATTGGGCAGTTTCTGTTTAGTTTTACACCTGAAATCTTTTTTTGTAAAACAAGGTGGTGGAGTTGACTGGATAGTGCTTCAGATACAAAAAAGAAGAGGTATGGAGACAAGGGATCTCCTTGTCTTATTCCTCTTTCAAGTATAAAAAATCTACAAGGGGCACCATTTAAAAGGACTTGATAGGAGACTGTAGAGACGCATTTTAGTACCTAAGAGATCCATTTGTTACCAAAGCCCAATTTTTGCAGGACACTCTTTAAGAAGCTCCATTCCACTCTATCATAGGCTTTGCTCATATCCAATTTTAAGGCCATGCATGCTTTCTCACCCCTTGTTTTCCTCATAAAGTCTATGATTTCATGAGCTATAAGAATGTTATCATGGATTTGCCTATTTGGAATAAAAGCACTCTGATTTTCACTGAAAATTTTGTGGAGGAAAGGTTTGACCCTGTTCACAAGAACTTTTGCTATAACCTTGTAGGTTGTGTTGCATAGGCTGATGGATCTGAAATGGGAGGCTTTAGTGGGCTGTTTAACTTTAGAAATTAAGGCTATGAAGGTTTTGTTAATCTCTCTATTTAAATGGGAAGTGGTAAAGAATTCCTGTACTGCCTTGCAAAGGTCTTGCCCAACCACATCCCATTGTTTCTGAAAGAAGATATTTTGAAAGCCATTTGGTCTCGGGGCTTGTAGCGGGGCCATTTGGAATAGGGCTTCCTTGATTTCTTCTTCTTCTACCATCTTTTCCAACCAATTGCTTTCCTTGACTGATAATTTTCTACTCATGTTTCTAAGGATTTCCTCAGTGTCTTGTGCCCTACTGGTTTGAATTTTTTTTTCAAAATACTGATTCAGAATCTTTTCAATCCCCTCTTGGTTATCAATCCAAACTCCTGACTCATTCTCTAGGCAAAGTGTCCTATTCTTGTTCCTTCTTCTCATGGTCTGAGCATGGAAAAACTTTGTGTTCTTGTGCCCATCCTTAAGCCACCTGATTCTAGATTTCTGGTTTGCTCTTCTCTCTTGATCCAAACTTCAAGGTTTGCCTCCATTGTTTTGATTTTGATTTCATCCCTGGAAGTGCCTTTGTTTAGATCCATTCCAATTCTAGTTTCAATTGTCCAATTTTGCTTTGGACATTTCCAAAGATTTTCTTGTTCCACAATCTGAGACCCTCCTGAAGATTTGTCAAGTTGGTTTGGAGGTTATCTTGTGCTAACCCATCTTGTTTTTCTATCCAAATAGCTTGGACAATTTCCTTGAATTCTCATGGGTTAGCCACATTTGCTCAATTCTAAAAGGTCTCCTTATGTTTCTTAGACTCCTTTCTGTGTATACTAGGATTGGGTAGTGATCAGAACCTTGGCTAACCAAGGTATTGGTATGGGCTTCAGGGAACATGTCTTGCCATCTTTGGTTGCTCACTGCTCTGTCTAGTTTAGCTTCTATTTTTCCTTTTCCTTCCCTTTTTATTTGAAATTAAAACTCTCATGTTGGAGGGTCTCCCTCCTTTCTTTTCTTGCTTATTGAAAGTCATGTTAAGTTCTCCACAACACATCCAAGCTCCATTCACATAACCTGCTAGGGTTCTCCGCTTCTGGTGGAAAACTTTTCTCTTATGTTTTTTAGGTTCACCATATATGGAGCAGTACCAATTTTTATTTCCTTCACTACAAATCTCCAAGTGAATGATATTGTTATTAGCATAAATAAATTTTTGGATAAAACCTTCTTTCCAGAAGAGAGCTAAACCCCCTTTTAGGCCCATTGCATCACATCCCCAACATTGCTAGGTTTTTAGGAATACAAATTTTTTCCTACAATTTAGAAGAGATTGCTTCATCTCCATTAGAAAAATTACATTTGGGTTTGTTCTTCTGGTGGTCTCCTTTAAAGCCTGAATTGTCTGTGGAGACCCAATCCCTTGACAATTCCAGCTTAAAATTTTCATTTTGCCCCTGGGGTCTGATCTAGGACAGACCCCTCAACCCACTTATTGAGAAATTGTTTTTGGATTCCCTTTGCTTGGTATTTGTGTCGGGAGAAAAGCCCGCTTGTTGGAAACCTCACATGACCTACCAAGGTAATCCATTTTTTGTACCCCCTTAATTGGTTCGCATCCTCTGGGTAGTTGAAGAGATTCTCCTAGACTAGGTTGTTGAGGGGTTTTATTTTTTGATTTTTTGACATTTCTTCTTTTGGATGCAATCAATGTTTTTGACGCATCTGAGTAACATTTATTTGGTACTTAGTCAATTTCATCATTGGATGGAGAACTTTCCCAATAAAAGGGAGTGAGTTTTCACTCTGTTATTTCTTTCTAAACTTCCAATTTTGGTACCGCATTGTTTTCTTTGTAGGGACTTGAGTACTAAAATCATCGATGATAACAGGAAAATAAGATCTAGCATCATAGCATGATAGAGGATTGATTAGAGAAAGAGGTACCTCTTCCTGCGTATTTACCATGTTCTTTGCCATGGTTTCCCCATCGCCTAGAGTTTCCTCCTCTTCAATCTCCATTTCTTCTAGTTGGTTATCTTTTAACTGCTCCTCTTCCATGACTGTCAGAGTTCCTCCTTGGCTTCTCCGGTCAGGTTTGAGGGTGCTTTCGAGACTCACACGATCCCGAGTGAAGTTGAATTTCGGAAGGGGGCTCAAGTTTTGTCTGAAGAGGCTGCGGTCTTCAATGGTCCTGTATGGGTTTTCCGGTTAGGCTTGCCTGGCCCGCTGTCCTGCTAAACCCGTTCCATCTATTGATGGCGGGTCTTCATTTTGAATTTCCTTAATAATAATGCCTGAAGACTTTCTTTTTTCCCCAAAACCAGCTCAATTGCCATGTCAGCCCGCTACGCATTGTATAGAATATTTTTTCCTCCACATCATCTTGTAACGATTCTCGAATTTGAGTGGATCCATGGCTTGCTCATCAGAGATGCATGTGCATGTGGTTTCTCGGTGTCCAATGATCCCGTAGTGCTTGCAAAAAATGGGAAGTTTTTCGTATTGGAAATGGAACCCCATTATCATCCTTGTCCTAGTTCCCTAGTGCTAGGTGTTTCCTTATATCTAATAGAACTCATATTCTGAAAATTTTCTCCCACCGTGGTTCTTCATCTTCAGTTTCTGACTCCCCGTTTTCCTCTTGTAGTGGCGCACCTGCAATACTAACCATTTTGGCACCCTAGGACCAGAATCACTTTTCCATTGGTGCATCTACTATGCAGATAAAGATCTTGAGCACTGAGAAGGGTAGGGCTCTTGGGATAACATTTTGTTCCCATTACTGTAACAGTAAAGGGTATCCCTGAATTAGCCAGGGCTCTTGCATCATGAAGGACTCCATATCTACTTTCTTTTTGAAAGAGATCCCACAGAATCTCCTCTTTTAACCATTTGACTTCATACTTGCATGCAGGCCAGAAATTTTTAACCTTCTGCAGTACACCGAAAGCATTCATTTGCTTGTCCGTAATAACCTTTGCGTAGATTGCTTTCTTGCATTTTTCTTCGATCCTCTATTGCCTTTCCTTGATTTCTTCTTCGTCTGGGAAGACTGGGATCTCTCTTTGAGGGTTGTCCATGTCCTATGACTTTCAGTCTTCCTGTAAGGTGAAAGCTTTTGGGGATTTGAACGGTTAAGAGTGGGTTGAGGGTTGTTGGTAGGACTAGACTTGTTTCGAAGGAAAATTAAATGGTGATTCAGGTTTGCCCTATCGAGCACTTTGCGAATGCAATGGAACCGCTAAATGCAGAGATGCATTCGGGAACGCAACGAGAAATGAGATTAAAATTAGCCTTAAGAAATGAGAATGCGAATGCGATGGAACCACTAAACTCTTTCTAAACTTAGCCTGAAGAAATTTTCTTTTGGGCTCAGTTTGGAAGGAGTACAAATACAAATATGTACAACAACAACATAGATTAAAATTTCATCATGTGTTGGGGCGTATTGGCTAATACATATCATATCGGGGCCCCTTCGATATGCCACTACACAAGGTGTTTTAGGGTTCCACCTATTTTACGGGGTAAATAAGCCTTAAACTGACCCCCCCGAACAAGTTTCAAAGAAAGAAAACTTAAAAAAAAAGAAGAGCAAGCCAAGATATAGCCCGATACACCCCTACTAGCATATCAGGTTATATCGATATTTTGAACTTTGATGTATAGTACAAATACATACAAAGTACATCGTTTTGCACCCTACATATTTGTATTTGTACCCCTTCCAAATTGAGTACAAAGTACATAGTTTTAGGCTTAGTTTGGAAGGAGTACAAATACAAATATATAGAGTGCAAAACCTTGCATTTTATATTGTTTTGTATGTATTTGTAATGTACATATTTGTATTTGTACCCTTTCCAAACTGAGACTTAGGCCATGTTTGGTTGTAGTGCAATTTTATTTGCACTAGTACAAAGTCATGGGAGTGCAAATGAAAAAAAATGCAAATTCTCGTTTAATTTTATTTTGGGTTTTATTTTATTTTGCTTCATGTCTTAATTTACTTCATTTGTATTGCGATCAAACAAAATAAGTTAAAATTTCAAACAAAAATAGGTCAGAATTTACATTCAAATCATTTACACTGCCATAGTTTTGCATCAGTACAAATTTATTTGCATTGCAACCAAAAACAACGTAAGGAATGAATTGCTATAAATGTAATAATGTAGGGAGATTGTAAGGAAGGAGTTGGGTGAAATGGAAAACCCTTTTTTTAAGAGACTACTAAGTACTTTATATAGTAATTTTATGAAATGACTTTTATGAAAACACTTTTACGTAAGTACTTTTACATGAAAGAACTTTGATAAAAGTACTTTTACAAAAGCACTCTATGAAAATACTTTTACGAAAACACTTTTATTGGATGGACCAATAAGACATAATGAATTTGGATGGATTGGACGGACCAATATGACATATTGGATTGGACCTGATCCATCCATAATGAATTTATATTGGATTGAGCCAATATCTGATCCATTGATAGAAGATAAGAATTAAGAATATTGGTCTCAATGGACCAGGTTTGAGTTGAAACCAATCTAAATTAACAGGAATTTTAACAGATTGGACAGTCTCTGGATCAGTCCAAAATATTCATTGGACTGGATTGGACCTGGACCGAATTGGACCAAATCCAGTCCAATTGACACCCCTAACTGTATAATCTATTTTTTCAGGAAAGTTATGGTGGATGTACCAATTAACACGCATACGGTAGTGGAGCTTTAGGAGGTGGATGTTGGACAATAGACATCATCCTGTCCGCTTTGGTTTTTTCAGTTGAATACCATGGGATTGATAGTGGAATGCATGACGATGGAGATTGGGATATTCTTGTGTGAGACGCTGAAAGAGCCAATTAACACTAAGGCTGTGCTTGGTTTGAAGGAAAAAGTAGGGAAAGGAAGGAAAAAGCAGGGAAACTTATACAAGGTTTGTAAAGGTTTCCTTATATTTCCCTTCCTTTCCTTACTTTTACTTTCAAATCAAACATAGCCTAAGGCTGTATTTAGTAAAAAAAAAAACTAGGAAAACCTATGCCTTTTCTTACTTTTTCTTTCAAATCAAACACAGTGTAAGAGAAAGATGAATACCAACCAAATAGGGTAGATTCTCGAGGGTAAGGGTAATAGTACTATAGTAGTATTACTAGACCCTTTGAAACTTTTTAACAAAAAAAAAGCCCTTGGGAACTAGTATAATTGTCTACAAGATGGGGGAAAAGCCAGTGGTATTCTTATTAGTATGAAAATATCCTAATTTTATGGTCATTTGGATCATGAGAAAGCAGAGAATATCCTAATTTTATGGTCATTTGGATAATGACAACTTGACAAGACTCGTATGGGCAGATAAATATTGGTGGGTTCAATAACTGATACATATTGTACGGCGATGTGTTGGTGGAAATTACCTTGAACCTTGGGTCATGGTCGAGGGCTCCAAAATGGGCAGATAAATACAAGTTCTTTAGCAAGGGTTATTTGATGGTTGGTGGAAATGGGAGACCTCATGTTCATGTTTGAGAGTAGAGGTGTTGGAACCAAAATCCTTTGTAAAATTAAAAAAAAAGGTCTTAATAGGGAAGATCATGATGGAAGAGGTAAAGAAGGCAACTAGAACCTACTAGAAAGAAGTTTGTATACAACTAGGGGAGGGGTCTTCATTGGAGAGGCAGATGCGTAGAAGATTGCTGTTTGATAACATAAATTAAAGTGTTTGAACTGAATTTTACTGTTTTGCCTTTTGGTAATTAAGGTTTTAAGTATTAGAAATGCAGAGTATCAAAAAAATACAACTTTAGGAGACATATCCAGATGTGCTTTGGATATGGTGAAAAATGAAGACATGAATATGTCAGTAAAATTCAAATGAATCCCATAAATACATAATAAGTCTAAAAATGATTACAAATAAGATATATACACTAATACACACGAGAATACATGTTTTCATAATTCATGTGAATTGTAAACTATTGGGATATGCCAACAAAGCATTGGAAAAAAAGAATTAAAATATGGTTTAGTGAGAAATAACAAATTTCAACGATTAATTAATTATTTTATTTTTTTTTAAATTTACGGTTGTTATAATATTAATAAGAAAACGTCGATTAATTAATTATTTAATTTACGGTTGTTAGAAATTAAAGCCCAGATAATTTTGACAAATTTAATTTAGTGGAAGAATCTTTTTTTTTTTTTTTTCATTTGGGTGCCTCATGTTTGAATCCCAACATCTATATATATATATATATATATATATATTTTTTTTTAAATTCCAACTTTTGCTCCAAGATATGCCTAGAGAGCATCCATTTCAATATACAAAACACAATGATCTAATGGCATTTTTTATTACTGCCAAACCGTTTTCGTAAATTGTGTTTCACCATATAATATATGCTGTTTCAAATAGATATCAATAATTCCACGTAGTTGAGTCAAGGCTTTGTTGAATTAAGTATTCCAAAGGATTTCAGGTACACCAAATACAGAATACAGTACATTATTCACAAACTATCCCGATGACCAATATAACTCAACCAGTACCAAGATGGGAGTGCAGAAAAGAAAGCAAAAGGAAAAAAAAAACATAATGATACAAATAAAATGATTGTGGCAGGATTCATCAGGAACCATGACTCGGATAAAGGTTGTACGCGCACTGTCCAAAGAGAAGCTCCTAACATACCTCTACTCTGTTGGGTCTGCAACGGGAGGTATACAGTCCACTTTGTAACAAAGAACCTGTCCCAAAGAGGACAAATCAATAGTAATGTAAGGACAAAAAGAAATTAGCAATAGTGAGTTCTTTCTTTTTCATTATTTTTTGGGTAAATTACAAAGACCCCCCCTTGTACCATGAGGTCAGTGACAAAGTCCCCCCTGTACTTCTTGTGACAAAGACCGCCCTGAACTTTAGCCGTTAGACAAAGACCCCCTTCTGTTAACGTTTTGTCAGTTAACTTCAAAAAAATTTTCATCCGACTTTAAAGTTTTTTAAATCTCCAAACTACCCTTTTTATACTGTTCATTGTCTTCTCCATTGAAGTTAGGAGAAATGGCTACAATAAAAACAACGGTTTTGAAACATTCAATGGAGAACATTAACGGAATAAAGGGGACCCCTTTTATGATGAAGATGGGAAAAAGGATGAATTAGAAGACTTGATCACTCTGCAGGACCAGATATCCATTTCCTAGGTTAAATAGGTTTTAAGAGAAAGAGGGCAAGAAAAAGAAAATAGAAAAAGTTTAGTGGGGTATTTTGGTAATTTAATGCTTTCCGTCATCTGACTTAATGGCCAAGGGGGTCTTTGTCTAACGGCTAAAGTTCAGGGGGTCTTACTTTGTCACTGACCCCATAGTACAAGGGGGGTCTTTGTAATTTACCCTTATTTTTTCCTAGGACTATTGCAAGTTCTCTCTCTCTCTCTTGCATATGGGTTCTCAGAGCTGACCTACTGCATAGTCATCATAAATCAAGATCTCACCACTTCAAAACCAAATACAACTCAACTATGCTTTCTCATCATTTAATCTCTGCCAATGTGTGCCTTACACAGCCAGTCATAGGTCCAGATAAGGGATTTAGTTTTCCTTAAGATGGTTAATGAGTTGCAGAATTGTAATTTTTAGTTTTTCTAATTTAGGAGGGAAGATTCAGCTCGGCCGATCCTCTGGGAGGTGGTTTTCTCTTTCAGGAGCAGTGGTTGGCTCTGGCGATCAATGGCCTGTTGTGGTAACTCGTGGTGGCTGTTTTTCCAAGAGACTCCACAGGTGAAAGAGAAAGGGCCAGCTTTTGTGTCCAGTTGAAGGAGATGGTGTGGTCGATACGATGACTGATGCTTGGCCTCCAGCTCCTGTGTCATCATCAGAACTCCAGTTAATCCCTCTGGTTCCTGTTTCTCCTCAAGAATATGACGTGAGGATGCACTGTTCAAATTTTGAACAGGCACACAAATTTTCTTTTAAGCAGGCAAGGATGGAGAAGCCTAGGGGTGGTTTTTCCCCAGATCCTCAAGAATATGATTTGAGGATGCACTGTTCAAATTTTGAACAGGTGCCCAAATTTTCTTTTAAGCGGGCAAGGATGGAGAAGCCTAAGGGTGGTTTTTGCCCAGATGCGAACCTGTCTCACCTAGTCATAGTGAACCCAGTGTGGCCTTTTCACCAAGACATCCTACTGAAATTTGGGTGGAGTTGTATGTGGTGTGTGGCCTTCAAAAATCAAGCAAAGCCTTCGTTGCTTTCCCAAGGGTTGGTCCCACTAGATATGGTGTGACTAAGGTTAAAGGGCAGCCCAGTGTACAAGGCTCTCGCCAATGCAGGGTCTGGAGAGGGACAGATAAGATATATGCAGCCTTACCCCTGCACAGAAATTGTTTTCAAGATTTGAACCTCAGTCACCCAGGTTGCAATGATCTGGCATAGGTTCATATCCATTAATGGACCTAGCAATGTTTGGAGAGAAGGTGCTGGGGTTTGAATTGGTTGTATCTCCTCTGTTTTGGTCACCGATTTCTACTAACCCCTCTGAGTCTGATTGGGCCCATCTATTTTGGCAGGGTGTTCCTCTCCGCATCCTAACAGCTTAGATTGTTGTGTTGATCAAGCAATTAGCTTTGACAAATTTCTTGGGGTGACTTTTGCTGATGGTCAAGAGGAGCAGGTCTGCGAGTGGTTGAGATATGAGGAAAGTGCACTGATGGTAGCACAGAGCTCTAGCTCAGAAGATGACTCTGATTCAGAGTCTCAGACATTCATGGCTCAGATTGGTCCACTAGCAGTTTGGATTACCTTTCAGGTTGCAGAAGATCCAACAATCTTGTGGATTTTTATGACTTGGTGGTAGCCAAACCCAACTCCAGAGGCTCACAAAGCATCGGCTCTAGAGGCTTGTAATGCACCAGAGGGAGAGGTAGAAGAGATTTGAGCAAGACTGGTGGTCTCTGGTTAATTTGTGAGGGTCTTTTGTGGATCCTCTTTTGTTTCCGGTCTAATTCTGCTTTTTGGGTTTTTGTTTTGTGGTTTTTCAAGCTGGGCCTAGTCTTGTTTTTAAGTGGGGTTTGGTCTAGGCCTTTTTTGAGGTTTTGGTTTTAGTTTCTCTGCTCTTTTCTGTTTTTGGGCCTAGGCATGTTTCACCTTGGGATTGGGTCTAGGCCTCTTTTGAGGTTTGGTCTAGGCTTTTATGCTTGCTTCTCTTTGTATATGCCTTGCAAGGTTTAAAATATTGATAAGATGATTCTGTATCGGACATATCATATTGGTATTGGACAGTACTGGTACAGGATACACTATGACTGGAGGTGTTATGGTCTGATATGTACTGATACAGAGGCTTATCGAACTCTAATTCAGCAACAAATGTGTTTCATAGTCTCTCTTTAAGTGGAATTGGTGTGATTTGAGCACACATTGCCCACACAATAGTCTCTATTTAAGTGGAATTGGTGTAATTTGAACATAAGTTGCCTACACACCTAGACTTAAATGCGCCATTAACCACTAAGCCACTTTTCATTTTGTGCTAATAACTGAAATAAATTAACTTTTATTAATTTCAATGCCCACACTTCACATAGAATCTAAACAAATAATATATATCTATATCCAACAACTTCAACTACAAATTAAAAAGAATAATATTCAAAATTAGTATTTTATAAACTAATGGAATAAATAATTTATCAAATCCACATTTATATAAAAATGATTTTTAATCTCAAGAAATTCATATAAATAAAAATATTAATAAAAGAATAATTATTTTAGTACTTATAATTTATACATTTGCAATATGATATGTATCTGAAAATTTGTATAAATTATTAATTAATATTTAAATTTTTATTAAATAACAATGCATTTATTCTTTACAAAAATAAACATATAGTTTATAAAATATTCAAGAATATAATATAAATTGAATCCATAAAATCCACTAAGCTACATTTATATCAAAAAATGATTTTTTATTTTAGAAAATTTATAGAAATAAAAATATTACTAATGAAATAATTATTTTAGTAATTAAAAATTATGAATTTACATATTAGATGTATCTTCTAAATCTAAAGTTTAATAGATTTGATATATTTTCAGATTATATATTTTTATAAATTATTAATTGATATTTTAGTTTACATTTATAATAACATATTTATTTTTCACAAAAATAAAAGCATTGTTTACCAACCATTTGAGAATTAATTTATTAGTTGACTTTTTTTGTTAATGTTAAAAATTAAAAATAGTAAAATAAAAAATAATTTATATAATAATTCAAATATAATAGTTGCATATGTTTTGCACCTTGGATTTTAATAGAAAATAAAATAATAATGGCTTTGCGCATGTTTTAATTTGTAAAAATCTATATAATGTGTCTTGGACTCTTGATTGATGCATTATCAATAAAATTGTATGATATATATGCATTCCGCTATACTAATTGTAATGTATGTCATATATATTATAAAAATATACATTTTATATTTATTTATACATTATTTGTGGCTATTTAGACATTCAATTTGGTGTTATTAATATAGATGGAATTTGTATGCATTTCCCTAGCGTATCCAAGTGTCTCCATACTTTTTGTTTGTATCTATGCATTTCCAAAGCGAATCCATATCTGTATCCGTATGTGAGTTATCCGATACAATACTTGATACCAATACTTTAATACTTGATGCCTTGTATACTTCCTCTTTTAATAAATAATACTTTACCGCTTTAAAAAAGTAGTTTTTTTGGTATTTAAAAAAAGTAGTTTGGTTGACCATAGAGACAGTCTATATATGTGAAAAGCTACAACATGTGGAAAATGAATATTGAACTTTATTTTCTGCTTGTGTGACTTGTGAGTGATTCCCACAGCCCTAGAGTGATTCTAAGAACACTAGGAGTGATTCCTAGGCTTTTATTTCTCTCTCTTTCCTCTTACCTCTCAAAGTTTGAGCTCAACCACTCACAGCAATCAAATACCTTGGAAAAGGCATCAGAAACCATCATTCAACATCAATTAAAGGACTGAAATTGATCCCTGGTAATTCTCTTCTCTATTCCCTTCAATTCTCAACATTCATACACCTGCCTAGAGAGAGAAACTTGTCTCTCTAAATCTTCCCTATCAAACCTTGTGATACTGATTCAGCCCCTCCCCCCCCCCATATCTAAGGGGTCTTTTTTCATCCCATTAAAATGGTTTTCACAAATTTTCACTAAAAACCCTTTCAAACGGCTTGAAGAAATTCCATATCAATCTTGAGACATTGAAATTTCTTTGTTTTCTTTCTCTAGAATCTATTCACTTCATACAGCAACATACCCTAGACAAACCCTAATACCCTGTCCTCTAGACCTCTCTCTATCCCCTCCATCATCACTTATTTTTCAATTTCCCTCAAATTTGTTATTAGTCCAGCCATGGAACACATCAGTCCTACATTGAAGGATTTTCTCGTAACACCGAATATGAAAAGAAATATGCACAAATGCACAATCACATGCCATGTTTTATGTTTCCCTACCTTTTTGAAGAAGGTTGAATAGGAATTATCCCAGATGAGTTTGTAGCATCCAGCCATACATGTGCAGAAGTTACCCTGTTAAGGTAATCCACAGTGACAATTTAGGACCAACATGGCATAGTGGAGTAATCACTAATTGGCAACATAAAAGCACTCACTCACTTGGTCAGATTCATAACGTCTGTAGGGTAAGATCATCTGTAGGATAACAAACCAATGCAAAGAAATAAGCACGACAAGAGGAGTTATTATGCAAATGGCATAACTTACCGTATAGCATGAAGATTAATGCAAAACCAAGAGTTCTACAAGCCAGAAAAATGATTAAGGCAAACATAAAGTGTTGAGTTAAAGGTGGAACATATGGTACTGACATATTGTGCAGAGCCACTTACAGTTTTTTCTCCCGATGGATTAATATATTCCACACTAAATCCAATATCCTGCCAAAAAAATATGCCAAATCCATGTAGTTGAGAAGCAGATCATACAATCCATGCATTACAAAAGGTAATCCATAAACCAAAATATCATACATATAGCACTAATACAGGAGACGGAACTTATTTTCTAATGCATCATATTACAGAAGCTGATGAAATGACTAAAAGCCATTATACAAGGTAAATTTTATTCCCGTCAAAAACCATAAGTTAAAATGGAATTCAAGGATTTTCAGAAGAAAATATAGAATCATGAGGACAAGCTTATTCCCATCATATTACAGAACCTCCTTACTCTCCCTTCTCTCAGAAGTTTTGATCTCACCCTCCACTGAGGACAAACTTATTTGGTCCTTAACTCCACATGGTTCCTTCACTACCTCTTCCTTCTTTCAGCACTTAACCACCACCCCACCTTTCCGGGCAAAAAGATTTGGCTCCCCACAGTTCCCCCTAGTCTCTTTTATCGTCTGGGAGGCTTCTTGCTCAAAGCTGAATACCTATGACAACCTCCAAAAGAGATTTCAAGGAAACCACTATATCTCTCCTTCAGTCTGTTTGATGTGCTATAAGGATGGAGAATCTATTGGATACCTTTTCTTTAACTGTATTGTTGCCAGAAGTCTTTGGCAGTTCTTCCTTGATTCAGCAGCCAGGGGCAGGCTTAACTGGACTCCCCCAAACTCTGTCATAGAGTTTATCAACTCTTGGCAAGGTCTAAAGTTGACTTCGGGCAAGAGAGAGAACTGTTTCTGGAAAGTAATTGTACATGCCATTTTGTGGAATATCTGGGAGGAAAGAAATAGGAGATTATTTGATGAGAGTTACTCCTCGGAGACTCTTAGAGATCGTATCCTAGCCAGCATTAGCAGCTGGATGGTGAATAGTAAAGTGTTTGAGGGCATCAGTCGGAATGACATTCAAAGAGATTGGACAGCCCTTCTGTCAACCTCTCCTTTTCATCCTCAGCCTCCCCTGAAAATGACCCCAAGACAAGATTGTGAACTCATTCTGAATTTTGATGGCAGCTTTAGGAGGTCTGCAGAGAACAGCCCAAATGCTGGAATAGGAGGCTTGATCAGAAGAGTGAATGGAGATGTGACTTGGGCCTTTAGTGGCCCTGCAAAGGCAGCTGATGCGTCAGAAGTAGAGGCTAGGGCCCTCTTGGAGGGCCTCAGAATTGCCAATCTCATCAGTTCTGTCTCATTGCAGTCGAAGGAGATTCAAGGAATGTTACAAGCTGGGCTTCAGGACAGACTTTGGACCCGTGGAAACTATCTCATTTGCTGTTAGAAATCAGGGAGCTGACCTCCTACTTACAATGAAGCTTCAGATGGATTCCTAGAGAATTAAATCATGTGGCTGATAATCTAGCTAAATCTGGGCTGGGAAGGGATTTTTTGTATAGTGATCATACTTTGCCATTGTGGTGGGCTTTGTCTTCTGATTTGTTGACAAGGCTTTGTACATCTCCTCATGTACATCCCTCCCCCTTTTTTTGATCTAATGAAATCTGTTATCTTTTCTCAAAAAAAAAAAAAACTATCTTTCATAGAGTTAATAATGCATAAAGTTTGGTCACCGTCCAATCAAACCTGGCATTTGTTACAAAGTAGTTCTGTATGAAACCATACTGTGAGGTTTGCACAGAATGCTGCTATGTGGTAGTCATAGACTCATAGTATTATACTTTTTAGATGTAAATACTAAAGGGAACTAGACCAACTCAAGTGGATTACTTTGATCTATTGTATACCTATCTGACCATAACAAGGACACTTGTATGTCAAATCCCTTGCCCTCTAATCCCCAACTTCCCCTCCCCCACCAAAATAAAAATAGAAATTGGAAGGATTCCTTGTATCATTCTTTGCCATTCCATTGTCTAGGGCCATGTGATTTTTTTTGTGAGTAACCAGACACTTTTATTAATTATAAGGATGTACAATTGTCTAGGGCCATGTGATTTACAATTTACTACTGATGTAGGATCAGCTCACTTCCAGCTCTTTGAGAATGTTGAATGACCTTCCTTGATCAGAGGTTTATGGCCGTTGATGGCTGTAATGCCTTATTAAAGAAGAAAGAAAATAGAGAGAGAATGCCTAGGATCACTCATGAGGTGCCTAGAATCACTCTAGAGTATAGGAATCACTCACCATAATTAGCATAAGCTCAAGAAAACTTGATAAACTTTATTAATCCTTGTGTAAAACGTCCATACACAGTTATAGACTGTAGACTCTTATGAATCCTAGTAGGACTTAAAACAAAACTATAGACTCATAAGAAAATCCTAGTAGGACTAAGAAACAAAAGTCTATTATGCTATTTCAATTCAAAGACTCAATAACTCTTATAATTCTTATTAAATAACTCTAAAGCACTAGATAGATCAGACCCTATTGTTGGACCCACAGAAAAACTATAAAATGATGGTATTCCCCATTCAAAAAAACTCTTCAGCTCCTGCATCATTCTTCCCCAGTTCAAAAGAACTTGTCATCGAGTTTTGAAGAACTTGAGGATTAAAAGTTCATATGCCCCAATGACAAAAGGAATAGGTATTCCGACAGCTATTTCAACACACTTCGACTGTAGAGTGGAGGCAACAAACATAGCTAGAGAAGGATCTTAAAGCAACATAAGACACTGCTTTCCATAACCTTCTTTGTTAAATCATTGGAGATGTGATTTAGTCCAATAAGAAATAACAAAAGAGAACTGAAATTAAAGGTAAGAAGAAGTAGCAGAAATCAGAAGTAGAAGAAGAAGAGGATGGAAGAAGGGAGGAGAAGGGAGTTCAATCTAATCTCTCGGATGGAAGAAGAAGGGAGGAGAAGAGAGTTCAATCTAATCTCTCCCCTTACTCCTAATCACATCTATTAACTTAACCTTTATGATACAATTGCAATAATGCCCTTAATGGGGCGGCTAGCTCATAAGCAAACATAAAAAGGAGCAAAAATAGTTAATAGGCCCATTAACATAGAAACATCTAATAAGAAAATAAGAGAACACTAGGGCTGATTCGGCCTAGTCTCTATACACTCCCCCTCAAGCTGAGCATATATGTCAATCATGCCCAGATTGCTTATATAATATATTAGCTTTCCTTTTGGAACTCTTTTCGTCAAAATATCAGCTAACTATTCTTCAGAAGCAATAAATGACAAGCAAATTTCCCTTGAAGCAACTCTCCCCCATATAAAATGTTTATCAACCTCAATGTGCTTTGTTCTATCATGCTGGACGGGATTATGTGCAATGTTAATGGCTGCTTGATTGTCACAATACATCATCATTGGCTTCTCATAATCAATACCTAGTTCCTCCAAAAGTGAACTAAGCCATAATAATTTTGAAACTCCATTGGCCATTGCCATATACTTTGCCTTAGTAGAAGATCTAACCACCACGGATTGCTACTTACTCCATGAAACAATGTTCCCTGCCACCATAGTACAGTAACTTAGGTAGATCTCCTATCATCAATACATCTGACCCAATTTGCATAAGTGTGTGCCTCTAGTTTTATATGTCCATGTTTAGCAAAAAGAATACCCTTCCCTAGAGTACCCTTCAGGTAACACAAGATCTTCTCAATAGTTGCCATATTGTGTCTCTAGGAGAATGCATGAACTGGCTAATGATACTCATTGCATAGGAAATATTGGGTCGAGTCATACAGAGATACAACAACTTCCCAAGCAGTCTCTAGAACACTCCCTTATCAACCAATAGTTCACCATTAGTGGCCAAGAGCTTGTGATTTAAGTCTATAGGTGTAGAAGCTGATTTAGCACCAAGTTTTCTAGTCTCAACAAGGAGATCAAGGACATACTTGCATTGAGAAATAAAGATGCCTTCCTTGGATTGAGCAACTTCAATTCCCAAAAAATATCTAAATTCCCCCAAATCTTGATTTCAAACTCAGTGCTAAGAAACTTCTTTAGGCTAAGTACTTCCTGTGTATCATCACTAGTAACCACAATATCATCCAAATAGACAATGAGAAAGGTCACCAAAGAGTCTCTCCTATTACCAAAGAGGGTATGGTCAAACTGAGTCTGTGTGTATCCAAAGGTAACAAGAGCAGCCCAAATATCTCAAACCACATCCTAGGAGACTGTTTGAGGCCATAAAGGGACTTCTTCATGATGAGAATAAATTTTATCATATTTTTATCCCTAAATATTCAGTATTTTATACTGAATTAGTACTTATTTGGACTCATATTTCTTGATTGATGGTTTAGGGCATGAAAGAAGGCATCGGGAGAAAGCAAGGCAAATCGGATGATTTTTCGCAGTTTCGGCACCATTCAGTAATCTGGGCCTAACTCTCGTATCTGAGATCCGATTGGGCTGATTCAAGACTCACTGGAAAGATAAGAGAGAAAGCTACAACTTTCATGTTTTGGGCTTTCGCATATTCGGCCTGCATCGAAGTCAAATCCGGGCCCGAAGTCGGGGCAAATTCGCAGGAAGGCCCAATTCGCAGCTGAAGCCCAACTTGCAGAAAAGCCTTGCAGCAGCCCAATTCGCAGAGGAAGCCTAATACGAATGCAAGAACAAGAAACTGAGAAGAGTCCTACCAGATTTAAATTTGTGATGTAATCCTAGAAAGATAAAGAGACTGAGTTCACTAGATAAAGAGATAAGAGTAGGATTAGACTAGGACTTTCTATTTTTGAAAGATAAACTCCAAGAAGGAGTTGGAGACCACCCCCTCCCCTTTAAGCTATATAAAGGGATGGGGGGCGGACTAGAGAGGGGGGAAGGAAGGAGAGGAGCAACCAATCTATCAAGCAAGAAGACTGCAAGAAGAAGGTGGCGGCAAGGAAAAGAGGAAATCTCAGCTCCGAGGGCGACACCATGAGTTCTTTCTTTCCTCTTGTTTGCTTTATTTCCTCTAGTATGAACTGATTTATTTATAGCTAGGGCTGTGGAAAGCCTAATCATAACAATGAATATATTTTTATTCTGATTTTTCCAAGA